ATTCTTGACTTGCTACTGTGATTGCTATAAATACAGGGAAGGATACAGGATAACTCAGTGTTGGCTATGCTTCACATGAGAAGGTCTCTAAGGAGACTGAAAACAAATACTCACTGCAAATTAATGACTTCTTATACTTTGGACTGGATGCAATTCAAGGTACTTGGGCATTTCCCATAAAGTACACTGAAAGTCTCCAAGGGGAAAGTACAAGCACTGGTCAGTTTTAAACAGTTGTTACATAAGCAGTCCCAGAGCATTCCCTACAAGCTGGGTTCTAGATCTAACAAAAAATAAAATAAAACAACCACTAGTTTAAAAGGAAATGTCTGAATGTATTGTTTCTGAAATTACAGGTTCAGTGTTTCAGTGGGAATACACACTTGTGTAAAGTAGAACCCACAAACTCCAAACAAAACTAATTTGATATCATGCTAGACTTTGAAGCTGTGATTTAGGTTAGTAAGCATCAAAGTCAGGATACTTAGAAGTTAGTTAAAAAGGAGAGGGGAAGGAGAGAGAGGGGGGAAAAAATAAATAAACAAACAAACACACCAAAAACACACCCATACCTTTACAGGGTAAACCAAGGCACAAATTGCTTAGAGCCATAAACGAAATCAGAGGCTGAACCAAGAGTTCAGACCAGATCTCCGAGTTCCAGCCCAGAGTATAACTTCAGTTAATTAAACATCCATCCGTCTCCTTTGCAAAAGCTAACCTGGTTATTTTTATTCTATCTTAGATAAGGATAAAGAGATACTTTTCTTACTGGTGTTTATTTTAAAAAGAACTATAATACTTGGTGGCTAAAAAACATGGTACAGCACTGGAAAAGTTATGTTGAAACAGATGAAGTATCAGTGAAGGCATCACTTGGCTTTGAACACACCAATTTCAAGGCAGGAGCAGCTGACATTGACACAGCCCTTCACAGGCACCTGCCACGAAGCAAGTGCAAAGTCTCTACAGATAAAGCAATTCATCTATAAGATCAGGCACAGTGCTTCCAAAGAGCCCAAACAACATAAAATGGGTAACTTAAGAAATGGATAAAGATGTTAGAGGAGAAGAGGAAAAACAAACAAAAATATCACACTTAAGCTTTGGGAAACAATTCTTCCAACAGTTCTACCATGTATCTCACATAAGCTTCCTATAAACTGGATAAAAATAAGCTACTGGCAATCAAAAATGGGTGGGAAATATCTCCTCGAAAGCACTGAATAATGACACAAGCACAAGGCTGACACGCAAAGACAATTTTCCAGTCTTGTTACAGCTGTCATTACAGCTGGTTATTCATCTGAATCAGGGATTTTCCTGATGAGATTCAGGTCTCAACAAATTAGGTGATCTACTAACTTAACTTACTAGTATCATGAGAATTATACAAGATAATCCATTCTCAAGCAAATATGTTTAAAACCAATCAACAGCAGTCTAACCCTTTTCTGCCTTCCCATATGCAAAGCAAGGTTATAAGGCTGAATGTCAAAAATAGTTTTTTTGTTTGAAAGATAAGGCTATTTAGAGAAATATGGCTATATTGAGACATAGACCATGAAATTAGTTACACTACTTCAGTAGCATCTGCACTTCGATGCTCTAAAACCTCAATAAATACCATATGGATGAAAAAAGCCCTATTTACCTGCAATCCTTTTTGATTTAAACACTAGTTTGTAAATCTTGGGCATTTAGTTGGCAGATATAGCAACTGCTGAACTATGGAAGACCAAATTTGCACAGATTTTCTTGGCAGACTTTCAACTTAATTAAAATGAAGTCTCCATTTTTAAACTGCTCTGACTTGGCAGCAATAAATACTTCATAGATGTTTTGTTGCTTTGCACTGTTAAACAGCCTATGTACTCTTGGTGACCATGAATCAGGGCACCCTACCAGTCTCTCCAATTCCTCACTGAAGTCTTGTTATAATTCATTTGATGTTTCTAAATTAAAGCCACTACAGAAGCATAAAGAGTTTCAGTGATAACTAGTTATTTGTAAGAATTTTTAGATATAGTTTTGAAAGCTGTTTTATGCTTCCAAAGGAAAAGAGGAATATTGAATGTGAAAGAGATAGCAGGGCTGGAAGGAAAGAAAGGATTAAAGCAACCATCAGGCAAATGCTTCCATAAAATTAAATTAGAAAGTAATTGGTATCTAGATACTACTAACACTCACCCTCTACTACATTATCCTTCACTGAAGCCCACAAATGGTTATGAATGTTGATAGAGTAAACGCTAGTCTACCAAATGCTCGTAATTTTCAGATACACATTTAAAAAACAAACCAATTATGAATGTAAGAAATCCTAAATCTGTTTAATAATGTGGAATCAGAACTTCATTTTATTTCATGATGCTACTTGGATGCTAAAAATATATCTGGCTATCATGTTTCTTATCTCCCAATGCAGTACCCTAATGAAAGACACAAAATAAAGATACTAAATCTCGTGGGAAAGTCAGACTATTTTTACAGATAATTCATCAAAAAAATATTACAAAAGCACTCAGATAACAGAAAAGAAAGTTTTACAGCTTTTTTTCTAATCATCACAAAAAGAATTAATCTCTTCAAAACATCAGCCCAATTTTCTTTTATCCATAACATTTACAGCTGTGCTGAAGCTTGCCAGACAGCATCCTGCTATTTTTGCTTTCTGAAGCAGAATGTTTTGCTGAACTGCATCTCCCAGGAACTTCTCTCCCACTACATTTTTTTTCCTGTTTTTTTGCAGTAAGCAAAAGTGATGCTAGCATGCCATCTGGTGGCTAAAAACACTAGAGCAAACAAAGCAAAGGCAAATGTTAATTCAAGATTTGGTCAAACACCTCTCCCCCCAAGCACTTTTTACTCACCAAAGTTAAGCTAGCGCTTTTGCCAAGTGAAGGAAACATACAGAAGAGAGAAGAGCCTCCCCACACTGCAGTGAGGAAGATTTTCACTTACTTCCATTTACTGCTCTTGCTACATAAATGAAACACTGTATTATTTCCTTGAAACTACTGCCCAGTTGGTAAACACTTTTCTTTGTTTGCTAAAACAAAACTACACAAAACTACAAACCACAAAGTTATAGTTATCTAAAGCTTTCTAGACACCTTTTCTACAATATAAATTTCATTCTGCTAAAGTGGAAAAGGCACAGATCCAGAAAGGTTCCCACTAAAAGTAAGTGTTACTAGTAAGCGTTAAGAAAACAACACCAGAAACTGGAAGCAGAATATATTCCCATGGAATGGGATTGTTCCAGGGCTTTATATAATTCCTTTTGAACATTGCTTAAGGGCTTTAAGTTCTAAACAAGTATTTTGCATTATGTAAAACAACACATCCATCTGGTTGCTTTAAGTCTACTACATGGCCATTTCATTGGATAACTCCTAGTTTTCATGTAGTTATAAACAAACATTCCTTTGTCACCTTCACCCCGAGGTTCATGATTTTACAGCTCATATCCCCTCTTCCTTTATCCTCTCACATTCCACATTTTTCTTCAAGTCAAGTTTTAATTTCTATAAGACAACAACTTTCTGTGTGCTTAGATTTTTAAGACATTCTCTGTCAACCAGATCATCCCTTTCTACACAATCATCACCTTCTTCAAAAGTCTCTGATAAGATTTTCTAGACTTCCTTTTCTACAGTGTTGCATCTTGTCAGTTACTTGGTATTTATTTTTCTTTCTAAATTTATTTAATCTGAGTTTTACTTCTAAAAAAAGCATTTCAAGTTATATATCCAAGCAGTTTTGCAAGAGACAAATGCCTTTGAACAATTTATTAAAAATGTGACAAAAATGCCACAAAAAAATTTCCTTCTTTCCTTCACAAAGGGTTAATTGTAAGTAGCACAATTTAGTAATAATTTTAGTGTATCACCTCATTTAAAGAAGACCAATTCAGACATAAAACACACATTTTTTAAGTTTAGAAAAAACTAATAAACTTTTTCAGACAAAAGTTAGAAACAAGCATTCTCTATTTTGCATCATGGAAATCTACAAAAAATGAATAGATATGCATATCACAAACCACACTTTAGGAACATGAATATGAAAGAAAGGAAAAGTCAAGTGATTTTATCTAACTGCAAAAGTCTTCTGCATAAGAAGCAAAGAGGTATTAGCCCTACATTTGTTATCCTCATTAGATTCCTTTAAAATTATGCTTTCCATAAAGTTTCTTTGAATTAAATTGCTCATTTGAATGTGAACACCTAATTGCAACAAACAAAAAACCCTCAAAACCGCTATGCAAATATAAGTCTTTATATTTGCAGTCTGTAATAAAGACCTCTAAACCCAATAGGTTCACAATCTGAAGTAGTAGTTTTTCACATTCAACAGCAAATTCTACATATCTACCTTTCATTTTTTTACATTTTCTATCACATTTATCTACTACTTTCTACTATCTCTACTGTAATTATCTACTTCCTATTTCCTGTATTTTTAATTAAAGCAATATTACACTTCTTTGAAACATCTCACTTTTTAAAAAGAAAGATTTTTAATTTATTCTGCAGCAGGTTACCTCTCTAGCCCCAGTAAAGCTTCTTTGTACTACAACCTAGATAGCACATTCAGGCTTTAAATCAACTTAAATACTCAGCAGGGGATTCCAATATGTATTAGATTAGCTGAGTTGAATACAGTAAAGCAGGTAATTAGTGACATATTTAATTCCAAGCTCCACCCAAGGGCAATGTTTAAGTTGATGGACTACAGCTGATTCTAAATGAAGTTAGTGGTCTCTTAGCTACCAAATAAAGCTGTTGGGTGATATTTTAGGTCTCAATAAATGAGAGCAGCCTGATAACTATTCAGCTTTAGGGTACAGATTAGATACACTGAATTTACATGGTGGCCTCCCTCTCTAGATTTATCTGGATTGCTGCGGACATGGCAAATGGGACAGTAAAGTCCTCTTTCAAGAGTAGTATCATAACTGATATAATAACATCAGGAAAAAAGCAGTAACTTACCTTTCAAAAAGTGAGAATCTGCTACTTCTATCTGGTCTTGCATCAATCACATCACCTTGGTCTACCTCACCTCTCTTTTGAGTGGAACAGTCAACACTGGTCTCCTGGTGTCCTGACATCTGCAGGTAAATGCATGAGAAAGTAAGAATCCCTCAAGAAACACTATTAAAAAAAAATTCTATAAAACACATTATGATTTCTAGGTGGAATCTCAGGCCTAGCTCTTAACTTCTGTCTTTTATCAACCTTCATATGAATTTTATATTCTTCTAATGATGAATTAATACCTGGACATGGTCTTCAAGAAAAGCAAAGAGTTGTAAGATGCTTCTGAGGAATTAAAAGGCATATTTTTCCTGTCATCTTGTAGCCTATTTTGCAAATTCCAGCAATTTCCCCCACAGTACCTCACCACGAGCTTGGACAGCCTCACTCATCCTGCAGGAACCAGGGGTTGTAGGAAAGGAAACCAGATCCCTTTGGCCCCAGGCTCTCCCTGGGGAGACCAGCAGCAGCTGCTGCCCTTCCCCACGCCTAGGGGAAGGTATACTTCACTTTGCTAATGTATATTTCATCTAACGCGGAGGAGACCACCCTTATTCCTGCCTTGCAAACCCCCCGTGTAGCCTTCACCAGCTGAAGGCCTCGTCGCGCACTGTGCAAGGCGGGCGGGCTGCACTGCCCAGCCCGGCAGCGAGCACGGCGACAAGGGCCGCTCTGAGCCCCGGAGAGCCCCGTGGGGCACCGGCACCTCCGCGAACCCACGGGCCAAGCCCTGTTCCCACAGGCAGCCGCCCGCGGCCCTTGGCGACGCCGGGCTGAGGCGTGCGGAGGGACGGGGCGTTAAACCCGGGACGGCCGGGCCGGGCCCGGGGTACCGCGAGGGTCCGGAGGGTGCGGGGGGAGGCCCGGGGCCCGCCTTGCCTTGTCACGGCGCCGCTCCGGTGGCAGAAGCGAAAGCGAAAGCGCCGCCCGGCCCGGCCCGCCCCGTTCCCTCCTCCTCCGTGAGGCCGCCAGGCCCGGCCCAGGCCGCCCTGTGGTAAAAAGAATTCAGCCACGTTTATCACCATGCCCTGCTCCTCACGGGCAGATTTACTAGTTCTAGAGCAGGGCCTGTGCTAACAGGGCTATATATTGACCTTCTTTTTGAGAAGGTGGGGTAGGAGGAAGTGTCCTGCTTCGGGGCATGGCGTGATTGCTCCCTGGTCAATTAGGAAACATTGTCTCAGGTGTGCTATCCCACAGGTGGCCCAATACATGGTTGGGCAGGAGGAAGAGCAGGATACCCGCAGCATCAGCATTCCTTTGCTTATCCCGGGAGACTTGCTCTACACTCTAGAAACATTGATAGTGAAGCTTTTGACTGGGTTTTTACAGTGTAGAAATGAACTGTTTAGCTATCACCTAAGCAGCTGCAGCGTGATGATGGAGTGGCCTTTGGGATGCTGAAGGGTAGATGGCAGGTACAAACCGAAAGGCTTGAGGCAACTAAATGGTACCTGCCTGGAATAATAACTGTGCACTGTTAACCCCCCACAACCTCCCAAATGACAGTTGTTAGGATTTTGTGTGTTTTGCAAAAAAAAAAAAAGGACATGCTGTTTTGATACACTGTGGGGAGCACTGAGACTGTGCAGGATGGTTTTGCACACCTTGAGTTTATGAATGTCAACGGGATATCACATCCAGCCAGCTCTGTGTGTGTGTGGGTGGGATTTGTCTGTGATCTGACAGCAGTGATCGATTACACCTGCCATGCCTTACTGTTTTTAAAGTTGGGGCTTTTTTAGGGTACAATACCTGACAAATGGCAATAGGTGGTCATTGTACACTCAGAGTCTGTTATGTGTTTTGCACACTTTTCTTCAAGCTTCTGGCTCTTCAGCTGCTTTCTAACAGCGATGTCTTACTTCCTAGGCTTTTTTTTTGAGTTTTTTTTTTTTTTTTAATTTCTTGCTCTCTCTTCTCCCTGTTTCTCTTTTGCTCTATTACAAGCATTTCCAAAATGCCTTTGTGGTCAATGCTCCCAGACCCTGGCAACAAAGGGAAAGTGTAAGTACAAATCCTTTTAGTTGTGAAACATAATCAGTTGTGGGCTGGTTTCCATAGTAGCAAAATGTGCAAAGCTCCCATGCAAGATAAGATAGGAAGGCAGTCCCAAAGAGGTTTTTTGCCTAGTCTTGGGGGATCCTAACACTGATAAGTCTGTTCTAGTTTTTGCTCAATATTTTTGCAAACTAGTTTGTTACTATGCTAAATTTGATTGGCATGAAGAGGCTATATGAGTTGAAAGGCTATGAGTTTAAGTATCTGAATAACTCTATAGTTCAGACAGGCAATGTGGAGGCAAGGGCAACATTTGAACTTCTACAGGTGATTTTTAACAGTGGGTGATTCCTGCAGTCTGTGCAAGGAAACAACATCTTTTTATTTATTTATTTATTTATTTATTTATTTTTCAAACAGAAGAAGCTGTTGCTGGGATGTGCTCCTGTCTATGCAGATGTGCTCCATGTTTTCCATGCAGTCAATTCAATGAGTATAAGGCAGTTGGACCAGTAATAGTATTTCTTCCTACTGGTTTGTACTTTCACTGTATTGTCTCCTTGTACTTTGTGTGTGATGGCATGACTTTTAAATCACATTGATTAAGGTTCTACTGCTAAGTAAAGCTTTGTAAGATTTTCATTGATACCAGAAAGCCTTTACAGGGCCGTACTTAAAAGAGGAAAAAAGCTGCAATGAGCTGTTAACTGAAGAGAAAACACCTTGCTAAGATTTGTCAAGATAATAAACTTACACTGGTTTTGCAATTTAATTCCTTGAATTATCGGAATGAAGTGTAACGAGACCATACAATGTTGTTTTTCAGTAAGCTGTCTACTCTAATAGCAATTCAGTTTTTACCTAGCATGGTCAGGAATAGAGCACTTCTGCTTTATTTGCTAAAATAGAGCAATATGGCAGTTTTGAGGTGCTCAGAACTGGGGAAGTCATCAATAAAGTTGAGGAGAATTTGGCACACCATGGATGTGAAGGAAGTGGAATGGCTGGGAAAGAGAAGTAACTCTTGAACATGCATGTTTATTGGGAGAGAAGGAGGAGAACTTGTAAAATGAGTTCTCTGCCTTTGAGCCAAGATGGTAATAAGGAGCATTGGGAGACACATGCTTTGTGTGTATGGAGATGAAGGCGCTTTTGTCTGTGAACCAAAGAGCTTCTAGGTCCTTGACAGTCCTCTTGGAAGGAATGCGTCATCTTGTTCTCCTCAGAAACCTTTGGCATGGCTGAGTGCACAGCATATATCCTATGTTGCATGCCCTGATGGCCAGGTCTCCTGGATGGGTGGTTCGTTTTGTAGTTGCTGAGTCATGTGGTTTTGTGTCATCTAGGGCTGTCCTGCTTCCAGCACCTCCGGGACTCATTTAGCAGTGGTCTCATGCATATTTTTTTTTCTTGCTATAGTGTAGGAAGACCTAGGATTCTTGCATGACTTTTAGATAGAAGCAAGACAACCAGGACTATCTAGAAAATATACACTGTGTTGACTCTTGGAGCAGATGAGCACAAAGAGGCAGCAGTTGGTAGGCTGCCCAGCACTAAGCAAGGAGGGGACAGTCTGGCTGCTATGACTTGGTCATTCCTATAAACATCATGTTAGTTTGGGACAAGATATAAAGGGAACTGGAAAACTTCCAAATTGCTTGGGTTCAGATATGTGAGCATAATAGATATTATAGTGATGCCAAGATAAAATTGATCCTGATTCCAAAATGAATAGCACAAGGTAACTCCACCATTATTTTAATACAAGAAGTTGTGTTCCTTGAACAGATATTTTAACAAAAATGTAATGGTTTATATATGGACACTAATCACCTATTTTGAAAGGTCTCAAGTGTTTGCAGGATGTTGTGCCGTGGCCATTCGCTTGAGATTAGGAGCTCTATTTTCAGCTCTCCAGTTGCTGACAGTGCTTTGAGCCAGTACATTGTCGGCATTCAGTAAAACAGTAAGCTAAGCAGAGCTGGGTATCTCCATGTCTTGCAGAGGTGGCTTTCTAGGTGTACCCACAAGCTTTACAAGGGGCTGGTTTTGATTGAGTTGATAGTAATTTACACAGCTGGAAAGTGCTTAGCATTATCCTAAGACCAATGCTGATATGGTGGATGGATGGATGAGAGACAGTAGACAGAATTGTGCAATGTCCCAGTGTTATGGAGCCTGCAGCTAGGGGTTTTATGATGCAGGTGAGATGTAGATCTCAAATCCTGACCATCTGTATCCACTACAAATTATTAGCCTCTGTTGTTCAGAGCAGGCTTGATAACCCTAAAAATGTGGTTGTTCCCTACTGTCAGACATAATGATTCTTAACTAGCATTATTTGGCTAAAGGAATCTTTATGTTTTGAACTGTGCCACCCTACTTTTCATGTACGCTGTTAAATAGTGGCTTGGTTTGTTCTATTCAGTAAAATAGTTCCTTCCTGATGATGTTTCCATGGAGGACAGGTCTTTGCATTGGTGCTTACCATGTTTACAGTTCTTTGAGCTAAAAGACTCAGGTCTTTTAAAAGGTCCATTGCACTGTGTGTCCTTCTGCATGTGGCGATGGGCTGGCATATTGACTAAGAAGAGGGAGATGAGGGATGACTGTGGTTCAGTTGAGTTCCCCAAGAGAAACTGAACAGACACCAAGGGAAGGACTCTGTGACTTGGCTAGGGCGATGGTGGTGCTCCCTTCTAATATATGATTATTCAGAAATACGTAGCCAGGCCTAAATGAGGTCACTTGCTGTGTATCACGGTGAGGAGCCGCTATAAGTGATTGCTGCTGTATATACCATTCTCTTCGCCACGGGCTTATGACAACAACCCTTACAGCAGAACTGAAATACTAAATGATCCGATTCGAACGTTCACATGGACGTGATTCGTTTCTGTGAGTTCATTCTGCTATTTAGAGAAAGCTATTTCT